AACCCAGGAGGCAGAGGCTGCAGTGAGCCAAGATTGCACCACTGCACTCCAGCCTGGGCTACAAGAGCAAGACACCGTCTCAAAAAAATAAAAATAAAAAAAATTTAAAAGTCAGTCATGACCACCGAGGTCTTAAAAAATACAAAACCAAAAAAAAAAAAAAAAACAGAGTCAGATAAAGATCATAATATCAGTTTTATTTTTGATAAAGCTCTGCTGGAAAATGTGACTTAGATTTGGCCTAAAATCATGCCTCTCAATATTTTCCTTCAATGACTAGTCCTTGGAATCTGAAGAACAAACTTCCTTAACCCACAATAAGAGCTTTATATCCATCAAGCTCCAGTAGCAGGAAGACTGAGAGTGAGACCCATCTTGTCCCTAGAAAGCAGGCGTAGGCCTGAGCTATTTGTGCTCACCACAAGGCAACAGAAGGGAAACAGGATACGCATACACTTTGTGGCAGGCAAATCTGAGAAAGAACAGGAAGGACACACACTTTATTGTCAGTGCCCTCTTGCGAATTTGCCTTCAATCAGCTTGTGTTTCTTCACTTTAGGTGATAGTGGATAAGGGATGGAGAGAGACCAGATGTGTTCTGTGGGTAGGGAGTGGGATGAAAAACTGATCTCCTTTATGAAAACTTGAGAATTTCTTGTTAAAGCAAATGCTAAGTGGCAACAAATGATTAACGTATAATTCACATAAATAGCACATGTACCTTAGATGTCTTTGATTTGTTAAAGTATTCCATTCTTAGATAATGTCCATAGTTTTTGCCTTTGGGAAGTGTTCCTAACTTTTAAATTAATGTTTTAAATCCATTTCAAGACTGATTTATGGGTTGAAGTAAGCAGATATTCACAGAGGTTATTCTTAGGGAGCAGCAGCAGCATTTAATTGCAGTAAACAGGCTAAACAGATGTGCCCATCATAAGCCATTTGGTAGTGTAACTAGAATACTGCTACTTCCTAATTTCATATGAAAACTACTGAAGCTCAAAGAGTGAATTAGAATAATTTTGAGTAGAATTTTTTTTTTTTTTTTTTTTTTTTTTTTTGAGACGGAGTCTCGCTCTGTCGCCCAGGCTGGAGTGCAGTGGCCGGATCTCGGCTCACTGCAAGCTCCGCCTCCCGGGTTCATGCCGTTCTCCTGCCTCAGCCTCCAGTGTAGCTGGGACTATAGGTGCCCCCCACCACACCCAGCTAATTTTTTCTATTTTTTAGTAGAGACGGGGTTTCACCATGTTATCCAGGATGGTCTTGATCTCCTGACCTCATGATCCACCCTCCTCGGCCTCCCAAAGTGCTGGGATTACAAGGAGTAGAATTTTTTAGTTGAAGTTCAGTTAATGCAAGTAATACTGAATTCATTCACTATGTTATATGGTTCTCTACATCTTTGAAAAAAATAGAACTAACCAACAATAAAAACTGAAGGAAACATTTTAAGGTTCCCTAAAATTTTGTACTCCTGTTTGAATTTTTAATGGTACCAAATGCTAGATGTGTAAATTATTATGTAACAATCATGAAAAAAAAAAAAAAAAAACTATACATGAAGATCTCAGGCAGTGTGTTATATAGATGAGCCATTATTTTCAGAAAGAGTTCTTTTTGTGGATGTTAAAACTATAGAATATTGTTTAAACAACATAGAAATAGTAGAATCAGAATTATAGAACTGAAAGTGTTCTTTTATAAAATTCTCTTGTCCAAAGATGAATAAACTGCTTCAAACTTACTAGTCTAGTATCCAGAATCTACAAGGAACTCAAACAAACTAGAAAAAAACAATCCCATCAAAAAGTGAGCAAAGGGCGTGAATAGACATTTCTCAAAAGAATATAAACATCCAACAAACATATGAAAAACTGCTCAACATCACTAATCATCAGGGAAATGCATATTAAAGCCACAATGAGATACCACTTACGCCTGCAAGAACAGCCGTAATTTTTTTTTTCTTTTCTTTTCTTTAGTTTTTGAGATGAAGTCTCGCTCTGTCGCCCAGGCTAGAGTGCAGTGGTGTGATCTCGGCTCACTACAACCTCCGCCTCCTGGGTTTAAGCAATTCTCCTGCGTCAGCCTCCCAAGTAGCTGGGATTACAGGCACACGCCACCACACCTGGCAGATTTTTGTATTTTTAGTAGAGACAGAGTTTCACCATGTTGGCCAGGCTAGTCTCAGACTCCTGACCTCAAGTGATCCACCTGCCTCAGCCTCCCAAAGTGCTGGGATTGCAGGTGTGAGCGAGCCACTGTGCCTGGCCAAGAATGGCCATAATTAAGAAGTCCAAAAACAATAAGTGGCTGGGCATGGTGGCTCACACCTGTAATCCCAGCACTTTGGGAGACCAAGGCGTGTGGATCACGAGATCAGGAGATCGAGACCATCCTGGCTAAAACGGTGAAACCCCGTCTCTACTAAAAATACAAAAAATTAGCTGGGCGTGGTGGCAGGCGCCTGTAGTCCCAGCTGCTCGGGAGACTGAGGCAGGAGAATGGCGTGAACCTGGGAGGCAGAGCTTGCAGTGAGCTGAGATCGCGCCACTGCAGTCCAGCCTGGGCAACAGAGCGAGACTCCATCTCAAAAAAAAAAAAAATAATAGTAAAACAATAGATGTTGGCTTGGATGTGGTGAAAAGGGAACACTTTTACACTGCTAGTGGGAATGTAAATTAGTACAACCACTATGGAAAACAGTATGGAGATTCCTTAAAGAGCTAAAAGTAGAACTATTATTCGATCCAGCAATCCCACCACTGGGTGTCTACCCAAAGGAAAAGAAGTCATTATATGAAAAAGACACACACACACACACATACACATACACACACACGCATACACATGTTTATAGCAGCACAATTTGCAATTGCAAAGATATGAAACGACCTAACTGCCCATCAACCAAAGAGTAGATAAAGAAAATGTGGAATATACATACCTCGTACCTGACTACTCAGCCATTAAAAGGAATGAAATAATGTCTTTTGCAGCAACTTGGATGGAGCTGGAGGCCATTATTCTAAGTGAAGTAACTCAGAAATAAAAAAACCAAATAGCATATGTTCTCATTTGTAAGTGGGAACTAAGCTGTGAAGACACAAAGGCATAAGAGTGATATAATGGACTTTGGGGACTCAAGGGGGGAAGGGCGAGAGGTAGGTGAGAGATGAAAGACTGCACATTGGGTACAGTGTACACTGCTTGGGTGTTGCATGCACCAAAATCTCAGAAATCACCACTAAAGAACTTACTCATGTAACCAAAAATCACCTGTACCCCAAAAACTATTAAAATAAAAAAATCATTTGTATTGTTAAAAAGATGAAAAGGAAAAATGAAAATAAATAAATCTACAGGGAAAAAAGCCTCCAAAACCAAGGGGGAGTCAGTGGGGGGACTTATTAGTGTACCAGGGAATACTGTGAACATGAAGGGCTTATCCAGTTGATTGCTGTCAGATTAGTGGGTTGGTATAAACCTGTTCCGGCAGGTAAGTTGTCAAATTACATGACCACTTGAAATTTCTTTTGGTTAGCAAAAGGAGTAAACTAGAATTGAGATGATTTTATCAGGGCCAAAATGTATCTTAGCCTAAGAAATATTCATTATTTTATGTAGTCCCCTCAAATTTAAGTATATAATGCGTATTTATTGTGCTATTTATTGATTAGCAGGTACCTAAGGAAACCATTTCTCATATATAGTGCTAGTTTATAATATACATGGTTCAAACCATTAAAATAATTAACAAGGAACGTGTTATTCTGCAGACCCTGGGAAATTCAGCAAAAGAAATACTTCCGGTACCATCACTAAGTGATTTAATAAGCAGTGTACTTTTACCAACTTGTAGTTCCTAACAGTTTTTCCCTTGAATGTGAGAACATTTAAATTATGTTCAAATAATGGAAATCTTTTTCATTATTCTCAAAAACAGATTGTACCAATAACATTAGCCAAGTATATAAATTTTCATTAATATGCTAAACATTGTGTTTTCCTCACAGGCTCCCATCTGGTGAAGAGTTCTTATCAGTGCCTTAGTAGTCATGTTTCAAATCTCACAGATTCCTTTAGGGTTAACCCAGCTGTGAGAGTTATGTATGTAGTTAGTTGTTTCATAGCCCTGTCTATCTATCACGTTCTAATTGTTGAAAGGTTGTTGGACAGAGGCTATTTCTATTATTCCTTGTCTTATCCAGTACAGATTCACATTTTCAACACCTCAACTGTGCTTTTTTCTTTCCTCAACTCAGTTGGCTGAGTTTCTTCTTACTATTCCTACAAATTATGCTCAGCATTGACATCAAAGTGCTTGTCCTTCCAGCCTTCTGTTCTAGTAAGAAAGCTTCCACTCAGTCCCATGGTCAGGGAAGCACTGATAGGCTTCTCTCTGCACTGATTTGAGCCCCCTGATTTCACCAGTATGTGGCTAATCAGCAGTTCCTACAATTGAGTGATACAAGGGGCCATCAATTACGTGTGGTAGCGCTTAGCCAAACTTCAGACTAACATGCTGCAGCATTTGGGCACGACTGTGTGGGGCAAGTTGACCATAGGAAGATGAGAGGAACATTTAGCAGAAACACCATGAAAGAGGAACAAATGGGTCATGAGTGAGAAGGAGAAAACAGGTAGTTTCTAGCACTGCCTGATTCCTGACAGATATCCAAGTCCATTCCATGTGTATACCTAAATAAACACCTCTCCCACTTTTCAAAGGTGGTATCAGGGAATTCCTGTGCTAGAACCCAAACGTAATTCACAAGTTTAGTTTCCTGTAAAAAAAAAGACTGAGCTGAAATTCAAGATAATTAGGTTCTAGCTTTATGCAAGTCACCTTTGAATCCTCTAGCTCTAAAAATATTTTTTATATATATATTTTTTTATATATACCTATGTAACAAAATTGTGGTTAGTTCTAGTTTTCTCTCATTTTTATGTTTTAATTATCTTTCTCCTAATAAGAAATTTGTTGATTTTTATTTTAGATGTTAAGGACATGTTCACTTCCAGATCTCTCAAAGCTGTTCAGAACCCTTATGGATGTTCCCACCGTAGGAGATGTTCGTCAAGACAATCTTGAAATAGATGAAATTGAAGATGAAAACATTAAAGAAGGACCTTCTGATTCTGAAGACATGTAAGTATAATGTCATTAGTAAACAGCATCTAAGTTTCTGAATTTATATGTAAAAAAAGACGGAATAACTTAGCTCTTTTTTTTAAATCATTAACCCCTGCTTTTATGTCTTCTGTATATTATTTTTATCTATTTTAAGAGACAGGGTCTCACTCTGTCACCTAGCTGGAGTGCAGGCTGGACACAGTGGCTATAATGTCATTGGTAAACAGCATTAAAAGAGTTTCTGAATTTATATGGAAAAAAGAGGGGATAACTTACCTAGCTCTTTTTTTTCATCATTAACCTCTACTTTTATGTCTTCTGTATGTTTATCTGTTTTAAGACACAGGGTCTCTATCACCTAGCTGGGGTGCAGGCTGGACACAGTGGCTCACGCCTACAATCCCACCAACCACATTGGGAGGCCAAGGCAGGAGGAATGCTTGAACCCAGTCGTTTGAGATCAGCCTGGGCAACACAGTGAGACATGATCTCTACAAAAAAATTTTTTTTTCTTTTGAGATAGACTCTTGCTCCATTACTCAGGCTGGAGTGCAGTGGCATGATCTTGGCTCACTGCAACCTCTGCCTCCCAAGTTCAAGTGATTCTCCTGCCTCAGCCTCCTGAGTAGCTGAGATTACTTGCCACCACACCTGGCTAATTTTTGTATTTTTGATAGAGACGGGGTTTCACCATGTTGGTCAGGCTGGTCTCAAACTCCTGACCTCAAGTGATCTGCCCACCTCGGGCTCCCAAAGTGCTGGGATTACAAGCGTGAGCTACCACATCTAGCCAAAAAAAATTTTTTAAATAGCCAGGTTTGTTACCACATACCTTGTAGCCCCAGCTACTCAGGAGGCTGAGGTGGAAAAATCACTTGAGCCCAAGAGTTTGAAGCAGCAGTGAGCCGTGATCATGCCGCTGCACTCCAGCCTGAGCAACAGAGTGAGACCCTGTCTCAAAAATGAAAAATAAATAAGCTGGAGTGCACTGGCATGATGATAGCTCACTGCAGCCTCCAACTCCTGGGCTCAAGCAATCTTCCCACCTCACTCTCCCAAATAGCTGAGATTACAGGTGTGAGCCACTGGGCCTGGCCAAGTTAATTTATTATTGCAGAAAAATAAATTTATAAATTTAGTGTAGCCTAAGCACATACTGTGTTTATAAGTCTATAGTAGTGTATAGTAATGTCCTAAGATAAGTACCCTATAAAGTTTACCATTTTTTATCTTTTATACAATGTTTTCACTGTACCTTTTCTATGTTTAGATATATTTAGAATAGACAGATATCATTGTGTTACAGTTGCTTCCAGTATTGAGTACAGTCATATGCTGTACAGGTTTGTAGCTTAGGAGTAACAGGCTCTACTATATAGCCTAGGTATGTAGTTAGCTACACTGAGTAGGTCTGTGTAAGTACATTTTATGATATTAGCACAACAATGAAATTGGCTGTAACAATGCATTTCTCAGAATGCTTCCTGTTGTTAAGCAATTCATGACTGTGCTCTACAGTTTCCCAGGAGAATGACCAGAAAGCTCCACATCCACCTCCTGCCATGTATAATTTCAAAGCCATGGCAATGGGGAGTTACGAGGTTGACTAGTTTTGTTCGTGTGTGTGTGTACACATGTGTAAGTACACACATGTAGTCTGCATGTGATTGGATTGTTTTCACAAAATTGCTTCCTTTGTGATTCATGGGGAATCCTGAATCTAGGAGGGAAATTTAACAAGCAATACCTCTGAGAGCTGTGAGGAGTGATGGCCCCTTAGATAAGAACCTTCCTTTACCTTGTTCAGTGTTGGTCAGCCCTCTCAACCCCCTCAGACAAATGTTACACACTTTTTGGGGTAATAAAACCAGAGTTTCCTAAAATAAGGTGAGAAGGTACAGTGTGTTCAAATCACCAGGAGAAAAAGTTATAAAATATTAGAATTTTTTATAATTTATTTTGTAATTTCTTTGAACTTGTTTCTGTTTTTTACTTTTACCTTTGGAAAGAACTTGTATTTTGATCTGATTGAAAGTATTATATCACTCTCACAATGTTTTCTTCCATAATGAGTTACATAGATGGATGCCACTGGCACATTTTATTTTCTGGTTTTTGGTTCTTTTTTAAGCCTTGCCCTTGCAAACTTCTTAAGTTTCTAGTGAAACTTTATTTTTAAAAGATTGCCTTTTTCATTTTTCTTAGAGTTCTATAGATTTTTACTAATGACCTTACAATCTAGAAGAAAAGTTACCTTTTTACTTTTATTTCTTCTACTTGACTGTGGTCATTGAACACTGAAATATTGTGTTTTTATTAATCCTATTGGAAAACATAACAACATTTAGGATTTTTGTTGTTGACAAACTGCTAAGTAAAATTTTTTAAAAAATTTTTTTTCCCAAAATTTTATGAAATCATTTATTTTTATCTGAATGAACTGCAGCTTATTTGTGGCTTGTGTTCTTTTATGGTTTTCTTTCTTCTAAGCTGCTAAGTTTGTGTTATGCATGTGTTCTTTTAATGAACAATTGATGACAGAATATTATTTTAAAACTTAAGTTAGAAGCCTTTAGTATTAATTGAAAAATTCGAAAACCAAGTTGTTTTTAAAGTATGTTATTTCATATTGTTATAGGGATATTTCACTTGATGTTTGTCTTTGGAAAAATTTTTTTTTTGGGGGTCTAAAATTTAGTCAGGGTTTTATAAGAAAGCCAACAAAAACTGAATTCAAGACCAGATTTTATTTAAGTACCTTAAAGTTTTTTGGTGCTCATTTAGTAAAAGATCTTAATCTTCTCATACTTTCTTACAGTGGCAAGGTTAGCTGCCTCAATTGAATACCATCTGCAGAGGGCACTAATTCCTCTAGGCTAGCCACTAGATGATTTTGTGAACAGGTCAATATTTACTCGTTGTAGTAATGGTACATAGCAGGTGTGCATGCTCCGTTGATTTTTTTTTTAATATTAAAATTTTTTGGCCGGGCGCGGTGGCTCAAGCCTGTAATCCCAGCACTTTGGGAGGCCGAGACGGGCGGATCACGAGGTCAGGAGATCGAGACCATCCTGGCTAACACGGTGAAACCCCGTCTCTACTAAAAAAATACAAAAAACTAGCCGGGCGAGGTGGCGGGCGCCTGTAGTCCCAGGTACTCGGGAGGCTGAGGCAGGAGAATGGCGTAAACCCAGGAGGCGGAGCTTGCAGTGAGCTGAGATCTGGCCACTGCACTCCAGCCTGGGCCACAAAGCGAGACTCCGTCTCAAAAAAAAAAAAAAAAATTTGGGGGGAGATAGGGTCTTACTCTGTTGCCCTGGCTATAGTACAGTGCTACAATCATAGCTCACAGCAGCCTTGGACTCCTGGGCTCAAGCAGTCCTCCTGCCTCAGACTCCCTAGTAGCTAGGAATACAGGCTCATGCCACCACACCTAGCCAAGTTTTTTGCAATATTTTTCTAGAGAGGTCTCGCTATGTTGCCCAGGCTGGTCTCAAACTCCTGGCCTCAAGCAGTCCTCTTGCCTCAGCCTCCCAAAGGGCTAGGATTACAGGCGTGAGCCACTGCACCCAGCCTAAATTAGTCTTGTAATTGTATGTTAAGTTAAATGCTACTAGTAGGATGAGTCAAGAGATTAGACACTATTTTCTCATTCTAATTAGATGCCTAGATTTTCTATAGCTCCTACAAGTCAAATTATAGGAGTTTGTATATATAAGTACAAAATGAAGATATTTCTACATAAAAAGATTATTTACTCTTTCTCTTAATGGAAATTATATTGACAGTCTTGCACAATAGTGTTTATATTTTAGTTCTTCAGTAAATATTTGATTTGAGTCTAAACTCTTAGAAAAGCCTTAATTAGCCCTTGTGTCCTATTAAGCATTGCCTTCCTGATAGATGAAATCCTTGGCTTAGGTTCACAATCTCTTTAAGTCTTCAGCCATCTAAAACATCAATTAACTCCTTTAGTCTACAAACTTTTCCATTTACATTCCATGTTAGGAGAAAGAAGCAAATCATAAAAGGAAAAAAAATTTTCTGAGTATGTTCCTCGGATATTACAGAAGTGGTCAAAGGCCTAGATTTCAGTGCTCTGTCATTTACTGACTATGTGGCCTTGACCAAGTCATTTAAACACTTTGGTTCATGGTTTTCATGTCTCTAAAGTGATTTTTTATGGATAAAATTTGAGTAATAGGATAAAACTGTTTAAAAAACGAAAGTTCTATATAAATGTAAGGTATTATTTATGTGACTTATTTTATTCCAGCATCTACAATCTCATGAAAACAGAATTAATATTCTGACCAATACTTTAGAAACAAGATTCTCCAGTGAAGAATTATGATGGTTGGTATAGGCTAGTTACACAGAAAATCTATTTATTATGTATTTTAGAACATTTTTAAGAATAAGCGTCTAAAGATAAGATTTCTGGTGACCATTTTATTCACTGGGTCATCCTGTTAACATGAATATATAATTTCCTAAGTATTTCTGTTTCTAAAAGTTCAAATGCCCAATAGGCATTTATGTGGAAAGCCTTTTGTATAGTGTCTAGCTATTAGCCAGATGGATATTTTGAAAATTACAGAATTCCATAAAAGAGAAAATAATTTACTATTATTTGTTTTAGAAAAACTTATATAGTCTGGCCTCTTAAAATATCAAAACATTGTTTCAGAATTTAAGCAATGAGTAACATTAATAGTTATGTGATTCTCTTTGGCAAGTTGGGATCATTTTAAACAAATCATCTTCTGGCTTATGTATTCCAGAATATGTGTTGTGTTCATCTTCAACTTACTGGTGAAAAACAATGTAGGTTTTTCCCAGATTTTTTGTTATCTATTAGTATTTTTTAAGTAGAAGTGCCTACATATTGAGTAAAAGTAACATTTCAGCATGAGGTAGTTTTAGTTGTTTAACTTCGTAAATTTCAGTATGTTTGAAACTTTCAGTTAAACCTTTTAAATTTCAGTGTGTTTGAAGAAACTGACACAGATTTGCAAGAGCTGCAGGCCTCGATGGAACAGTTACTTAGAGAACAACCTAGTGAAGAATACAGTGAAGAAGAAGAGTCAGTCTTAAAGAACAGTGATGTGGAGCCAACTGCAAATGGGACAGATGTGGCGGATGAAGATGACAATCCCAGCAGTGAAAGTGCCCTGAACGAAGAATGGCACTCAGGTGCATAATCAGAGTTTTGGACCTTTTTCTTTTTCAGTTTACAAATATTTCAAGTGGAATATAGTTTTCTAATCTCTGCTGTGGACCATTTCCAACTTCAAATACAACTGAAGCATGCCTCTGGGTCTCTCCCAGTTTTCACTCTTTTTCTCTTCATACAAATATGTGATTTTCCATTTTTTTATTAAATTTTTTTCTTTCCTAGTATGTCAATGCTTTTTTGAAGCATTTTTATTCTAATCTCCGTTTCTTGACTGATTTTTCCAGTAATAAAGATAATAACGTTGTTTTCTTGTCATTCTATATTTTAGAAAGAGCTTCTGCATATATTAATCAGCAGGGTTAACACTGAAAGCAGTTTTTAAAGTACGAAAAACTCGTTTCATAAATTTGGAAACTTGCTCTCTCATAACATTACCCCTAAGATGCATAGAAAGTGTGTCTATTTCAGTAACTATATTATGTTAATTTAGGAAGAAAAGCTAATGTGAAAAGACTAAGTAATGTTTTTTTTCAAAGTATCTTGAGCATGTACATGACAAAACATATTGGCCATTTATACTTTCCAGGTGCTTTCCTGAAATGTAATGATGTATGTCTTAGGTTGTCTACCTTCTGCAGGCTTTTCCATGGTATGGCCCACATTTATTACCAACTTTTGTAGTTAGGGTTAGCTGCTTCAAAGCAAAACATGGAGGTGTGCTTTTTCCACTTTTTTATTCATTTAAGTAACATCTCTAGGAGTGTTTTGATTCCACCCTGATTTATTTTTTATATCTATAAAGGAAAAGTAACATTCTTGTTTAGAAAGATTTATACATAATTTTTCCCAAAGGACAAATATTAAAATGACAAAAACCCTTTATAATGAAAGTAGAAGTAGTCTACTTCAATGGCATTATTCATTTGTCATAGAATTTTAGTCTATTAGGGTAAGAGTTATCTTATTCAGTCTTTTTAAATCAAAATATCTATTTTAATTTTACTTTTTAGATAACAGTGATGGTGAAACTGCTAGTGAATGTGAATACGATAGTGTCTTTAACCATTTAGAGGAACTGAGACTTCATCTGGAGCAGGAAATGGGCTTTGAAAAATTCTTTGAGGTTTACGAGAAAATAAAGGTAAGTGAAAAGTCAATTAAAACACTTAAAATGTGCTCTGTTTGAAGGTTAGAGAAATGTTAATGATCTTTATTGGTCATTAGATTTATTATAAATAAAAAGTGAAGTCTACAATTAGAGAAAGTTATTCAAATATTAATTTATATTTGGGAATTTGGTATAGGCTATTCATGAAGATGAAGATGAAAATATTGAAATTTGTTCAAAAATAGTTCAAAATATTTTGGGAAATGAACATCAGCATCTTTATGCCAAGATTCTTCATTTAGTCATGGCAGATGGAGCCTACCAAGAAGGTAAGATTTCCTCACATGTCTGTATAATTTTCAATAAATGTGAGAAAAACAAGATGATACATGTATATGACTCAGCTTACATCACATCCGTTTTGTGAAATCTACATGGGAACTATATTACTTTTAAGCAATAATAATATTAACTTTGTCATATACTTTTACTGATCTGTCATGTACTTTTACTGACTTAAGTCCTTTAAGTCCATATTTTTAATTTAATTTATAAGTAACCTTTGAATGAGATTTTTGAAAATCTTACTAGATAGATTTTTGGACAGCTCTAGCAATTAGAATAATCCTAGCTGGGTGCGGTGGCTCATGCTTGTGATTCCAGCTACTTGGGAGGCTTAAGTGGGAGGATGGCTTGAGGCCAGGAGTTTGAGACCATCCTGGACAACATAATGATAGGTTTCATTAAATTTTAATTAGCTAGGCATGGTGGTGAGCACCTGTAGTCCCGGCTACTCAGGAGGCTGAGGTGGGAGGATTGCTTGAGCCCAGGAGTTTGAAGCTGCAGTGAGCTGTGATTGTGCTACTGCACTTAGCCTTCGTGACAGAGCCAGACCCTGTCTCAAAAAAAAAAAAAAAAAGTAAGATTATAAATTAGAATAATTCGTGTTTTTTTTTGTTTTGTTTTCTGTTTTGAGTCAGAGTCTTGTTGCCCAGGCTGGAGTGTGGTGGTGTGATCTCAGCTCACTGCAACTTCTGCTTCCTGGGTTTAAGTTATTCTCCTGCCTCAGCCCCCTGAGTAGCTGGGCCTACAGGTGCCACCACGCCTGACTAATTTTTGTATTTTTGGTAGAGATGGGATCTCACCATGTTGGCCCGGCTGGCCTTGAACTCCTGACCTCAAATGATTCACCCTCCTTGGCCTACCAAAGTGCTGGGGTTATAGACATGAGCCACTGCACCTGGCAAAACTCTTTGACACAAAAAGCAATATGTAAAATTTTGAACAACAATTTATTTCTAGATTATTTGCCCAAACACTAATCTTATTACTTTAAAGGTTTAATTCATAGACTAAAATTGAGGGTTTTAAATGTTGATGCTTAATTTCAGCAATAAAAATGTTTATAAAATTTATTTGTATTCCGTGCAAAATTTGTTTGCATATTCATACAAAAAAGTCTAAGATTGCATTTAAATATATATATATAGTAAGAGAGAGAATTAAGTTTTAAAAGTATCTGGGGAAGTGAACATATTGGACAAATGAGCACAAGCCGTATAACATGAAGCCAGGAATGAGGAATATAAACTTCATGTTCAAAAGGTCTCCACATTTTCTAAAAACAGGAAACAAATTTGGTGCTGGTCTTTCTCACAAAGCAGAAAACCTAATTAATTACATGAGTCACAGTATTCATGAGACAAAACATTTTAGTTGCTCAGAGGACAGCTATTTTTGGTATTGAAACCAAAGGAACAGTTTTCCCATGATCTTTAAAAGGAGGGCACTATCATACAGTGTTCCTCAAACTTGAATAACATATGGATCCCTTTAAGGGGCAAAAAAATATTTTTTTCAGGCACAAGAATCCAAGGGTCTATAAACCCCAATAAAAAAAAACTTAAGTCTTAGTCATAGAAAATTTCTGTCAATTGTGAATTATTACTGTAAAACAGATGTTGTATTTTTCTAAATATTAAAAATGTTTATCAAAATGAAAATATAAAATGTAGACATTTTCTGGTACTTGTGGATTTCTTATTTTATTGGGATCTTGAACTTCATTTTACAAAACAATGCTATAATGGAATGAAAAGTATCCTCAGTAATTTTTACAATATTTAGATTTCATGAGACTGTTTCTCATATGTCATGCTGTAAGTTAATGGCACGAAGCCAGAGGATGATTCCATTTCAGTAATTCTGTGGAGTGTATCAAACCAATTCTATTCATATTCAGACTATTCCACCTCCAGGGCGGTTCTCCTTAAGTATTGTTTCAATAGAGCTTTTCATAAGTAATCAGCAACAATGTGTTTGGGGTTCAATTTTGCTGGACAGGTATCTGGAGAGCTTTTAGCTTGCTTTGCCCATTAAGTGGAGAACTGTAACAATCAACTTATTCACGAGGTAGAATTGACATCCTCTTTTGACAACTGAGTGGCTTCAAAAGGATATACGCCTACACGGAAGGCCATTTCCCCTGCAGAGGACCGAGAATCAGGCTAGGTTAATACACCACTCAAGAAGCAATATCAGATTTTCTCTAGTACACAAATGAAAGGAAAAGAGAACCCCAAAGTTCTGTATCATAAAGCCTGACAGTAATTCCTTCAGCCTAGAAAAAAAATGTAAAGCAATTAAAGGCAAATGCCTACCCTGGCAATCTTTTCTAAAACTCTTAGTACATACCATTACAGCAGGTGTAGCCTAAAAAAAAAATTTAATACAGCCCGTAAAATATTATAACTTACTGCTATAGCTACTAAAGAAACTGGTTATAAAATGGATATTGAACTATATGGATGACTTGCTGTTTTATATTGTTAATCATGAGAGTTAAATGAAATGACTGGATTTAGATTTCATACTCATCAATTCAGAATAACTGTTTTTGCAGTCCTTCATATTGGAAGTCATTAGAGCCCATATATAGCTGTTCTTTTTTATTTGGGGAGTTTGGGGTTGGTTTTTTGTTTTTTTTTTTTAATGGAGACAGGGCCTTGCTCTATCACCCAGGTTGGAGTACAGTGGCATGATCTCAACTCACTGCAAACTCCGCCTCCTGGGCTCAAGCAGTCCTCCCACTTCAGCCTCCTGAGTAACTGGTACTACTGGCGTGAGCTGCCATGCCCGACTCATTTTTGTATTTTTTTGGTAGAGATGGCATTTCACCATGTTGCCTGGGTTGATCACGAACTCCTGGGCTGAAGCTGTCCGCCCACCTCAGCTTCCTAAAGTGCTAGGATTACAGGTGTGACCCACCGTACCCAGCCTACCTGTCTTAGAGATAGTTGTCCAGACAGCTATCTTTTAGGGCGCATCTAGGAGATAATAAAGCCATGTCATCTGCATGTGGTACTTACACACTTTTATTCTCTGTGTTGGGGAAAGGGGAGAGTAAAGAAGGGAAGGGGTAAGCAAAATTTTATCTAGCTCACCCGAAAGTGACATCAAGTCATTAAGGTACAAGTTTAAAAGATTGTCAAAACACATTTCTGTTTCATTTCACTGGAAATTGTATGAGTCCTGAAAAGACAGCCTTGGCTGTTTAACTCTCCTGATACTGTTATGGTGCAGGTTTGGTAAGCATCAGTATCTTCAGCCATTGATAAAGTTAATGCTTTTTTGTCCATAGCTAGATGCTGTCCGGAGTCAGAAGTCGAATAGAGCTAATAAAATGTATAAACGATTTGATAGTATTCGTAATAAATTCTTCCACAAGGAGAGAAGGAGTATAATAGCTGTGTCTGGCAGAGGCTACCATATTCTCACATAGACTATTAGCATTAGCAACCCAAGTTTATAGATTCTTTTTTTTTTTTTTTTGAGATGGAGTCTTGCTCTGTCTCCCAGGTTGGAGTGCAGTGGCACAATCTCGGCTTGCTGCAACCTCTGCCTCCCCGGTTCAAGCGATTCTCCTGTCTCACCCTCCCAAGTAGCTGGGATTACAGGCACGTGCCACCACACCTGGCTAATTTTTGTATTTTTAGTAGAGATGGGGTTTCACCATGTTGACCAGGCTGGTCTCAAACTCCTGACCTCAGGTGATCTGTCTGCCTCGGTCTCCCAAAGTGCTGGGATTACAGGCATGAGCCACCACTCCTGGCCATTATAGATTCTTAAGAAGGAGACACATACCTTCTCTTCATACTCATTTTAGGTGGAATATTGGGCTGCGTTTATGTAATGAAATTTTATACATCAGCTAAAATGAGTGAATTAAATTCCATCTATCAATATGGATAAGCCCCACAAACAAGATGAGTTGAATAAGTAGAATATTATACCATTTATGTAGTGTTTATAACCAATTTTATTTAGATGTGCATGTGTATAATAAAAATAAAAGCAAAAACCCATGAGTGGGAAGAATACACATCAGTTTCACAGTACTGAAAATGCCCCTGGGGAAGAAGAGAAGGCAATAAGATTGAGAAAGGGTACTCTCTATCTGTAATATGCTTTTACTTAAGTAATCCAAACCACTATGGCCAAAAGTTAGCTTTCGTTAATTCTACATATTATGGATATGTGTGTTCATTACTTTCCTGATTATTTGAAAAGTAAGTAAATATAGTACAGAGTGATCAGTGTTACCTTGGAAGCAATAAAATGTATGTAAGTTGTAAAGTAAAGATCCAACTACAGTGGTGGTGACAGGATCGGTCTTCCTGGGGAGAGGACATCAAAGTTGGATTCTGAAAGATGAATGGGAATTTAACGCAAATAAGTACACATACGGGGAAGGATGCAAAGTGTAGTAGGGAACTATAAGCAATTCAGTGTTCCTACAGCATAAATTATAGGGGCAGTTGAGGAAGGTGGGGAATGAAATTTGGTAAGATGAGAAATATTTAAAAGACCAGATCATGAAGGGCTTTGTAATCCACGTTAAGGAGCGTGGATTCCATTTTGAGGCAGTAGGGAGCTAATGAATGTTTTAAGCAGTGCAGTGATTTAACATGACCCTTGGATTTTAATGAAAGATCACTTTTGCTAGAATGTGGAAGATAGTGCTTGGATGTAAGATTAAGTTAACCAATCTGTTTAATTCACTTGATTATAATCTTTAGAATTAAAAAAATTGAAAATAACAAAAATGTCTATAAATAGTAATGGTTAATTATGTCATAGCCACTAAATAGAATACTATGCAGACATTGAAGTCAACATAGAATATATCCATGATTTATTCTTTAACATTTTATTGTCAAATTTTTGTTGTATTGAAAATTTGAAAGAACTTTACAATGATCACCCATGCACCCACCACCTAGATTCTAACATTTTTTCTAATCTTATCTTATGTATCCACCTTTCCATTCACTAGGGTGTTTTCAGTGGAAAACCTAGGTTTCAAAACTGTATTTTAGTGTAATTTTAAAAAGATTTTTGTGTATGCATGGGAAAGCATTGTGGGAGGATTTATATAAAGTTAACGTTGGTTATCTTTCGCTTATAGAGGATTTTTGCTTCCCATTTTATTCTTCATTGTATTGTCTGAATATTTTACAATGAATGTGTGATACAATAATTAAAAAAATATGTTTAAAACTACATGAAAGCTCTTCTCCTTTAGCGTGAACAAGAATGAGTTTTTTTTTAAGTAGATACAACTTGATTTGAAATGAAGTGAATTATTTTTCTTTTTTCTACAGATAATGATGAATAATCCTCAAAATGATTTTTAATCCTCAACTATATGAAAGCATTTGAATTTGGCTCATCAGAATAACAAGCTTCAGTGGGAAATACAGCAATTATTTATTTAAAAAATCAGATTTAAGATGGGCTTGCTTATTGCCTGAAAAAGATGGAGAAACATGCCATTTTTCAATGAAGATTCTAATATTTTATCTATTTTATTTTGTTCATTGAATTCCATGGTTAAATCCTGTAAAATATATACTTTATTAAATCATCCAACCAAAGCATAGGAAACATTGACCCAGAACCTGACTTAATGGTTTTGAAGATTTACTATGCAATAGGGTAACTCTGACTTTCAGCAAATGTCTTTAGGTTGAGGGAATTACCTATGTCATGAAGGACCTGTCTGTGGTTTTTCAGTGAAGTCTTTAAGAACGAACTTTTTTCTGTCTAGTACTTGTTTTCAGTCTGGCCAGCAGTTCTACGTTAAATCACCTTGTCGAGGGCTCTATTTAGATCTATACATTTTGAAGATGAAATTTTTAGCCTTAAAGTTTATATTCGCAAGTCCTTTTACAACCAGTGTGTCTCCTGAACTAGCACACAGGCTGTAGAAACAGTCTTAGAAATCATTGAAAGATTTGATTATGAAAGAATAGCAAAATTATATTTCCTGACATATAAAATGTTGGTTTAATGCCTTTATTTCTCTTTAAGGACCAGAACCAGGAATACTATATTGAAAAATTAGTCTGTGGATTTAACATTGACCTAGCATATAGCTTAAAGTTGCTCTTTTGGTTTTTAACTTCGTCTCATACATATGCTCCAAGGACAATGTGATGTTAAAAAGGAGGAAATAATTATTTTTATTTTGACACTGTGGCAGTTTTGGTAACTAGGATCCTAGGGAGGGAAGTGTTTGCCACTTGAACTTCTTTCCATTATCAGAGGATTTAGTTAGGTCGTTAAGATGATGATCACACAGCTTCAATCGCAATATGCCAAGTATAACCTGGTTTCGTTAGTGGTGTCTACAGTCCAGATGTTCTTCGTAATAAAAGCAAAGTGTTTGAACCTCTGAGTACAAAGCAGGCTGGTTGGCATAATATGTAATTTGAAAAATAAAATCTTATCTTGCAGCACTATCAGTATGTTGAATTTATTATGTGTATTATTTCTAATATCTAAAACTAAATACTTGATTTTTTATATGTGTGTTTATTTTCTGATATTGCTATTAAATTTTTATTATCTACCTGAAGTATATCATTGATTGTCTTTTATTTATTAGCACTTTTCTCAATAGAAGGTTTTCACATCAAGCTGAGAATACTTTTGTTGGTTTTGTACCCGATGCTTTCTTTCTTCATAATGAAGAAAATGAATTCTGTGCTTTAATTCTGTACAATCCTGAAAGATGGTCATATTTTGCAGAGGTTATGTGTTAATTCTTAAACTATTACAACTATTAGAAAAGGGTATAATGTAGTAGAAAATATTGTTTTAGCCCTATTTCACACGATGTTATATGTGCAGGAATAAGGATGATCAGTAGCATTTGTGCCATCTCCAGGCGATTAGCAGTGTGTGACTCTAGAGTGTTGTTATGGAAGGATTACGCCAGGTAGGAAAAGGGCTATTATTTTTCAGTAAGGTCTGTTATAAGTGTTGGAGTTGACATGTAGAAGCATCTGTAGATTCATAAATGTTAGCATTAAATGGGCTATCAGGATAATTTTGTCTTTTCTCCATTTAACATGCAAAGATATTGAGTTGAACATGAAATTAAGTCACTTGTGTAAAGGGTCAGGGTCAGAGCAATTCCTAGGTCTTACACTGTTGTTAGTTGCACATTCTTATCTCCCCTAGAGAATCAAAGAGAATAAATTTGATAGGAATTTGGGAGGCTGAGGCAGGTGGATCATGAGGTCAGGAGTTCAAGACCAGCCTGACCAAGATGGTGAAACCCCATCTTCACTAAAATACAAAAATTAGCCGGGCATGGTGCCAGCTACTTGGGAGGCTGAGACAGAGAATTGCTTGAACCCAGGAGGTGGAGGTCGCGGTGAGCCAACATTGCACCACTGCACTCCAGCCTGGGCAACAGAATGAAACTCTGTCTCAAAAAAGAAAAAAAAAATTGATAGAAAATAGTACACCTGGCATTCATGCATTAAGAATTCTACAAGCCAGGCACACGCTTACACCTGTAATCCCAGCACGTTGGGAGGTAGAGGTGGGAGGATCACTGAAGCCAGGAGTACAAGACCAGCCTGGGCAATCAAGTGAGACCTCATTGCTAGAAAAAACGAAATTAGCTGGAGGCAGTGGTGTGCACCTGTAGTCCCAGCTACCTGGCAGGCTGAAGCAGGAGAATTGCTTGAGCCCAGGAGTTCAAGGCTACAGTGAGTTATGGTCATGCCACTGCTCTGCCTGGGCAACAGAGCAAGATTCCATCACTTTAAAAAAGAAAAAAAAATACTGATATTTCCTAGTTCTGGAATTAACACACCATTCTACTTACCATTTTAAAACTTCTCAACAGAGAAGTTAAAGTTGGGACTTTTCCTTATAAATTAACACATATTCTAATGCTTATCACTTGATTGATGATGGATCTTTGAAGAGTATGTGTGTGTTTGTTATACACCTAAAAACATGCACAAGAGGTAAAAAGATGAATTGCCGACCAAAGCTTTGAAGAAAGCCCCAACTCAAAGAAATAAGTAGAATATTGGAGGGGGAAAAGCCACTTTTGACCTGAAAGCATGTCCAATACCTCACACTTTGATATAGTGGGCCTATGGGGCCAAAAGGGTGAAAGGTAAGGTCAAGGACCATCCTAATTGGAGAATCCCATAGGAAACCCCAAAGGGTTACATCTTCACACTAAGGGAGAGCTAAAACTAAACCAAACCCAACCCCAAACGTAGGGACTGTAAGAAGGGAAAGGGACAGAAAAGTCACATAAGTTGTGGCCACATATCAGCCTTCAGATGGTTTTTTTCTGTGTGTGTATGCCTTGAGCACAAAAGCCTGGGTAGACGAAGGACCTTTAGATTTCACATATTGATGTAGTTCCCAATGAGTAGTGTCCCCTGAACCTGGCAGAAGCCACTCCAGTACCTCTCTGAAGGAAGACACATTAATTAGGTGTTTTGCAAAGCACTGTAAGTAAACTTTCAGGAGCAATGATGGACATGGAGTGAAAGAGAAAATAGTGCACAAGAAATCAAGCTCTGCACACACTTTAGATATAGAATTATGAGATATTATTAAACAACTATGCTTATTGTGTCTAAAAAATGATCAATGAACTTGAAAATATTTGTAGGGAAAGAAAAAAGGATACAAATTCAAAGATAAAATATAATTTATATACATGAAAAATACAATAATCAAAATTTTAAAACTCAGTAGACATTCTTAGTAGCAAACTTCATGGCAGAAGAGAGAACTAGAAAAAATTACCCATAACATAGCACCGAGAGAGAAAAACGTAGTACAGAAGAGAAGAGACAAAGATTCAGTGAGCAGGTCTAATGAGTATTTGACTAGAGTTCCAGAGAGAGAAAATGAGGTAAAAAATAGAAAATAAAGGCTGAGAGCTTTTGAGAACAATTGGAAGACATCAATCCACAGACTGAAGAAGCCCAGTGAATTTCAAGCAGAATAAAGTAAAAGAAATATACAACTAGTCTCTCAAGTGCAACTGGGAAATCAAAGAAAAAAATCTTAAGCCAAGGATTAAAAGTTAGACTGTCTTCAAGAGAATGTCAAAGACTGACAGCTGACTTCTCAGCAGTAGTAATGAAGCAGTGGAATGATGCCTCCAATGCATAGAAAATAGTTGTTCCAGGCTTACAATTGACCCTTGAATGACATGGATTTGAGCTGCATGGTTCCACTTTTTTTTTTCTGGAGTTAATCTGGCTGTGTTGCCCAGGCTGGTCTTGAACTTCTGTTCTCAAGTGATCCTCCCACCTCAGCCTCCTGAGTAGTTGGGATTACAGTCATGAGCCCAGCTTGTGGGTCCACTTTGTGGATTTTCTTTGGTCTCTGTCACCCCTGAGAAGCAAGACCAATCTCTCCCCTTCCTTCTCCTCCTGAGCCTACTCAACCTGATGACAGCGACAAAGACTTTTATAATGATCCACTTCCACCTCATGAATAGCAAATGTATTTACTTTTCCTTCTGATTTTCTTCTTCTTCTTTTAGAGACAGGGTCTCACTCTCTTGCTCAGGCTGGAATGCAGTAGCACATAATTATAGCTCACTTCAGCCTCAAATTCCTGAGCTCAAGCCAGCCTCCTCACCCTCCTGAGTATCTAGGACTATAGGCATGTGCCACCACACCAGCTGATTTTTTATTAGAGATGGGGTCTTGCTGTGTTGCCCAGGCTAGTCTTGAACTCCTGGCCTCAAGCAGTCCTCCTGCCTCAACCTCCCAAAGTGTTGAGATTATAGGCATGAGCCACTGTGCCTGACCTGATTTTATTAATAACATTTTCTTTTCTCCGGCTTACTTTAAAAATACAGTATATAGTAAGCATCCAGAATATGTGTTAATTGACTAAGGCTTCCAGTCAACAGCAGGCTATTAATAAAATTTGGGAGCAAGTCAGAAGTTATACATGGATTTTCAAATGTGCAAGGAGTTGATGCCCAAATCCCCAAGTTGTTCAAGGGTCATCTGTATAGACTTAGCAAGACTATGTTTTAAGAATGAAGAAATGGGCTGGGCGTGGTGGCTTATGCCTGTAATCCCACCACTTTGGGAGGCCGAGGCGGTTGGATCACCTGAGGTCAGGAATTTGAGACCAGCCTGACCAACATGGAGAAACCCCATCTCTACTAAAAATACAAAATTAGCCCGGCGTGGTGGCTCATGCCTGTAATCCCAGCTACTCGGGAGGCTGAGGCAGGAGAATTGCTTGAACCCGGGAGGTGGAGGTTGCAGTGAGCCCTGATTTGTGCCATTGCACATCAGCCTGGGCAACAAGAGCGAAACGCCATCTTAAAAAAAAAAAAAAAAAAAAAAAAAAAAAAAAGAAGGCCGGGCGCGGTGGCTCAAGCCTGTAATCCCAGCACTTTGGGAGGCCGAGACGGGCAGATCACGAGGTCAGAAGATCGAGACCATCCTGGCTAACACAGTGAAACCCCGTCTCTACTAAAAAATACAAAAAACTAGCCAGGCGAGGTGGCGGCGCCTGTAGTCCCAGCTACTCGGGAGGCTGAGGCAGGAGAATGGTGTCAACCCGGGAAGCGGAGCTTGCAGTGACTGAGATCCGGCCACTGCACTCCAGCCTGGGTGACAGAGCCAGACTCCGTCTCAAAAAAAAAAAAAAGAAAAAGAAAAAAATGAAGTCTGACTCACACTTCTGGCCGTGATGAAGAAAAGAAAGTGGATTTATTTCTAACCTGGAACACCAGACAAAATGCATGACCCAATGGGTTTCAAATAGCCACAGACAGCAAAGGACAGTGCCATGAAAGAAGGGGAACCAACAAGGTAAGCTCTGTGATTCCCCAAGTTTACAGCACAGAAATAGCATGAGGTAGGTAGGGGTGAGGGGACAGACCCAGACAAAGCCCAGGAGTTTCCCTAAATCAAGGAGACAGAATTTAGAGAGGCAAAAACAGCCAGAATTCGCAAGGCAGAGAGGAGAAAGGAGAGCACTGCACAGGCGAGAAAGAGCTCAAGAGATCCGCACTGGGTTTCTTCTTCTGTCTTCAGCTGAATACTGATGGGTGCAGCACAGGAGGAAACGACCTAAGACTGGTGGAAACCATTAGAATGGAGCAGCGGAATAATCCTTCAGTATCAAATAGGGTCAAGAATAGTTTGTATTTCCACCAGCCTGACTAGAAAGACCTAACACCTGAGGCATAGGAAACAAGAAGGTATTGCTTGCATCATTAGTGGAGCCAAATTATCCCTAGATAAAGGCTAGTCTGGTCTTGCCTAACAGCTTAAAAGCTAGGCATGCAAACATGCAGGAAAACTGACTCAGGGAGAAAATCTATCAATGAAAACTGCAGAAATCATACAGATAATATAGTTAGTAGTCAAGGACACAGCTAAAATATACTCTACACAGTGGCCCTTTCTATCTGGAGGTTCCAAATCCATAGATTCAACCAACCGCAGATCAAAAAATATTTGAAACAAAAATAGGACCTAGAACCGGAAATACCATATGACTCAGCAATCCCATTGCTGAGTATATACCCAAAGGAATATAAATCATTCTA